TCATTGGGAGTACATAAATTATACATATATAAAGACAAAATATAAGATATTTAAGCGGGAAGGACACATTCTTGCATAACGACATAAAGCCATTCTACATTAATCGCAAATCGCAAGGTCGCAAAGAAATTGACTAATCATAGTCGATTGTTCTTCTTGCGATCGAAGAATAATCAATTATGATTGGTCAATTTCTTTGCGATCTTGCGATTGCGCCTAATGTAGAATGGACTTTAGGGACGCCGCACACGAATTGACATAACAGTAACGTAAGACATACCATAAAATTAGATCAATTACAATCGAGTATTCACAAAAATGACGACCTTACGGTTCGACGATACTCAAAGTGATTGGCCAATTCTTACGGTACGTTACTGTTATGTCAATTCGTGTGCTGCGCCCCTTAAGAGTGGTCTACAATGAGAACTTAAGCCATAAAATTTAAGCTTTAAGTCCTAAGCCGTAAGAAGTTGACCAATCACATTATAAGAAAAATAATTAACTGTGACTGGTCAATTTCTTACGGCTTAGAGCTTTAAAGCTTAAATTCTATGGCTTAAGTTCTCATTGTAGATCACGTTTTAGAAGCTTTCTACACTAAGCAATAAGTTTTAAGTTGCAATAAAATTGACCAATTACAGTGGATTATCCTTCTAATAGTCAACTATGATTAGTCAATTTTATTATGACTTAAGATTTATTGCTTATTGTAGAATGGGCTTTACGGAAAGCAGCATTAATTGTTTCTAACGGTAACGAGTTACTTTTTACCGCAAGTAACAGTAACAGTAACGCGTTACTTTTAAAAAGTAATGTTCCCAACCCTGACTGAATATCATTATAATAACGTTGTAGTAATGATATTTTACTAACCGGTAAGTATTATCACAATACAGCAAAACCGCAAACTACGCGTGAATACTGTATATCAATATTTGCTGATCACTTATTCACACATGATGATATTTCGTGCAAACAACAATCACTTTCGAAAATAAGTAAGACAAGTTTGCCTTTACTCGTGTATTTTAATTATCAGAAGAAAGAGATGTTATTGGTGAGACGTTTCTGTTCAAAATCACAGAGAAGTGATTCAAATTCTTGTTATGTATAAATCACTAGCGATACCGAACTACACTTTGACAAAGATTTGATGTATTCGCAAAATATCTACATACACAGAAA